CAAGATCATCAACCCACACTTCTGTTTCTCTACAGCGGCCCAGCACCGACAAGAAAACAGAACGCTTCAGAACACTCCCTTCAAAACACACAGGGAGGCTGCACCTCTCCTTGGGCTCGCGGCGTGACCTGCCATTTGAGCGCGCACCAGCCCCGCAGAGGCCTTACCTGACACAGCACCTCCCGCGCTGACCACGGCCTCTCTCTTCCCCCACTGCCTGCTCAGGGCCAAAATACAAACACCCAGAGCCTTTCACCCAGCCCTCGTGCCATGCCCTGCCTCAGAAAAACCCTTCACAAATCAAAAACGCAGCGCGAGCTCTCAAAATAGGTCACGGCAGAACACCTTTATTTTACCGGTGGTTCCTTACTCACAAGCGGCTCTCTGCAGCTCTCCCCAGGCCTCAGGAACGGCTCCTTCGTCACCACTGGATGGCAAAGACGGGCAGTGCTCAGAGAGAGAGATCGACTTCAGACGCAGGTTTGGAGCCACAGCGCCCCTTGGGCCCTTCTGGGGCTTCCAGGTTTGCTGGGAAGAAGCCACGGCCGCTCGCCTGCTCCGTGGAACGGCCTGTAGAGAAGAGAGCTGCCCTCAGTCCATGGGAGTCCTTTTCCAAGTTTCCCCTCCCCAGCTGCTGCCAGCTCCCGATTACCCACCAGGAATGTCTGAGAAACCATTTTGAGGCCACAATAGTCTGCAGATTGATGTGGGTTAGGCCAAACAGCCGTTTGAAAACCACCCCCACTTCACAAACCACTGCAAGACGCTGGTGTTCTTGTCCATCATTACCTATGTTTGTGCTACAAAACCTGCTGCTTTGCTCCCTGCGCCACCCTCCTTCCCCCACTCTCACCTGCCCGCACTGAAAACATTCAGGGTAGCACAAAAGCATCTCCGAATCTCTAAGGGAGCGGTGAAGCACGCTGCGGGAACCCGTGGGTGCCAGGGCAGAGGGAGGCAAGCCAGGCCGCACTGGGGCTGCCCGAGGCGCGAGCTACAGCCACTCCCAGGCGGTCAGGGGGAGCAGCACCCCACTACCTGCCCTGTGGCCCGCAGCAGCCTGCGTGCGGGGGTCAAATTTGGGTGTTACAGGGCCACCGCATCCAGGACAAAGTGACCCCGATTTTCACTGGCGAGCCCAGGTAGGAGGCCCGGAGGGCCAGGGCAGAAGCTGCCCTCGCTTCACATGCAAGTACATTCCCTTCTGTCATCAGGAAAATCGCGAGCCGCTTCACACGGCGTAAGGAGCTTTCGCACAGACATACCTTCCAACTCTGATCGTGAAAGCTCAGATCACCGCTTCTACCTGCGCCTACCGGTGATCTCGGGGCCTGTTTCACCGCTGATGGAGGGTTTAGAGGCATTTGCTCCAGCCACAACCCCAGCCAGCAGCCGTGGGCTTGATGTGTCCTTGCAGGCCTTCAGCAAGGGCTGAGAAACTTAGAGCTCGCTCTCCAGGGTGAACTCTGCAGCTCACGGTACAGGTCAGCTTCAGGCAGTATCCCCCCCCTCCCAAATCAGAGCGGTATCTCTAAGCAGTGAAATTGCCCGTTTCGGAAGAAAATTCCAGACCTGCAATTTTGAGAGCCCCTGTACAGAGGCTTCTGGTAGAAGGGCTTTCATAGACACCTCCCGGTTTCTATCCGTGCGCACCTAAATTGGATCAATTCAGTCAGTATTGCTAAAATTCAAGTCATTCCAGTGCAACCCCCCTTCCAGGTATTTTCCAGTAATACCGGAACCTGCCTTATCATTCGATATTGCACCCCAAATCCCATTTTGCTGCGGAAGTACATACATCCACACAAGGAGTTCCATAAAAGGGTTTCCCAGAACTAACTCCCTCATTGTAACACGGTCCTGCTCAGCAGAGGAGGGCGCTTTGGCAAGAAAGACACCACTTATTTGGTATAAGGACTTTTATTTTATCTCTACGAAGACGAACGCGTTTAGGCAATGCTTCCTGCGTTGGAGGCTATCCTGGGCCACAGATCCGCGCACTCCTTAGCCACAGGGCCTGTGATTGCAGAGCCTGGAAAAGAGGAAAAAAAACCCCAGCAGCGCGTTAGAAGACCAAGGAGGGGCAGAGGCGGCTCAGGGCGACGTTTTACACGAACGCTGGCTCAGCCCGACCGCGCTCTCCTCGCTCTGAGGAGAATCTGGGTCCTTTCGCCCAGGAGAGCGCAGCCCTCAAACAGGCACTGCCGACCTGCCACCCCTCTCCGCGCCCGCCTTTCGCCCAGACCCTCGTCCGTACCTTTCATTTCACCTTTATTATTTACTATCACTCCCGCGTTGTCTTCAAAATAGAGGAACACCCCGTCTTTTCTCCTGTACGATTTCCGCTGCCGAATGACCACTGCTGGGTGGACTACAGAGAGAAACGAGCGGCTCGGTATCGCCAACGGCAGGTTAAGCACGCGGTCCAGCAACAGACACCCCAGCGGAACCGTTCTGCCGCAGCGCCTAATTCAGTGCACAGGTTTGGGGGCTCAGGGTTTTTTTTTGCATCTCATATTTGCAGCGCTTCCTAAGAGAAGCCACAGTTTATAGTCAGTAGTACACTTAAAACTGTGTCATACTTACAGCCACGTCTACATTTGGACAATTCAGTGTTTTTCCACTTTCCTGCCTTTATTTCTAAATACACCCTCAATTCGCAGCCAACATTCAGCAAGAACTCCTCCCTTCCCCTCCGAAGCGACCCTTTCCCGCGGCAGACTGTCACACCGCTGATTGAACTGAACAGCACGGGCTGCCACTTCACCCAAAAGCGATGCCTTTGCTCTGCCCTTCCACGACAACTCGCCAAGCCACTGCGCACAGACCCAACGAGTGCTTTTTGGAAGGGTGGAGGCGACGCTCCAGAGGTTCAGTGCCCGCTTTCTGCGTCCGCTTGAGGGAGGAACTGTCCTCCCCTTCGCCGAGCGGCCTGCCTCTCCATCCCTCGGAGGAGGCTCTCGGCAGGAGCTGCCCATCGGCACAGCGGGACTCACCCTTCTTCCTCAGCTCCGGTTTGCCCTTCTTGACGGTAGCCATCACCATGTCGCCCACGCCAGCCGCCGGCAGCCTGTTCAGACGCCCCTTGATCCCCTTCACGGAGATGATGTACAGGTTCTTGGCCCCTGCGGAGAGAAGCGCCGGCATTAACCGAGCCGTCCCAACGGTCCCTTGTCAAACCACCGACTGACGCGACCAGCGCGGGCTGCCGCTTCGCCCAGAAGCGACGTTTTTGGTGTCTCCTCGCTGAGCCGCAGGCGCAGACCCAGCCAGAGCCTTTTTCAGAAGGAAAACGGGGTTTTAGGAGCCCGTTTAGCAGCCGCCTGCCCCCCACGTTACAACGGGCGTCCCCCTCCCGCTGGCCTCGCCCGGCTCCAGCCCCCGCCGGCGGCCGCGCTCACCCGTGTTGTCCGCGCAGTTGATCACAGCTCCCACCGGGAGACCGAGGGAGATGCGGAACTTGGCACCGGAGGAACCGCCGCGTCCTGCGGGTCGAGAAGAAGATTAAGACCCTCGGTGACGGGGCACAAACGGGCTCCAGGCAGCAGGGAGCCGGCCCGGCCTGCGCCTCCCCGGCAGCGGG